TCGTTCCCAAAGTCAAAGAAAGCCATAGTTGATGTGGTTACTTTCTTTGAATAAGTTATGGCTGAGCTAGAAGACGAAATTTCCTCGCTTTGCAACGAAATACACGAGTTCAAGATCGGAACGTTTGAGAACTTCCATGATGCCATGGAAGGCGAAATGGAAAGTTGCTGTGTGAATATTGTTTTCTTTGGCATGGCTGGGTCTGGGAAATCAGCTTTGATTAACACCATATTCCAGTCTTTAGGATATAAAGATATGAATCCAGCTGTAACTCAAACCACCGGGAAGGAAGGAACAAAGGTTTTGGATAGATTCTTTCTTCCCGGAAACCCAATCGCGCTTATCGACACGCGAGGATATTTCTCGATGGATACCAAAGAAGAGGGTAGGTCCTTTTTTACTCATGAATTTCAATGTAGTCGATACCGAAAAGGATTGGAGGATTTACCCATCCCTGTGTTTGAGCGTTCAGGTCTTAAGCGCATTTATTTATACGTTAACATTAGCATTAAAAAAAAAAACACTGGGAGAGCGTGACAAACGTGTCCGGCGAAAAAGTGACCTCCTCTCGAACAACTGCGGCATGGTTTTAGCTAAGATGTTTTGGTTAACTTTTAAATCACTTTCTTATCTTCCTAAGTATTCTATACCACTTATATAGCAATAAGAATCTCGAGATTTTAAAAATCTGCAGCTCTCAGCTATCCTTCTTGTTGAATAAGAAGACATTGCTGTATTTTTCAGAACTGCTTGGGCGAATTGACCCAACATCGATTCCAACACCTTATAAAACTGCAAACAAATTGCAAATCTTAAAAATCATGGACTTTATACCCCTTTAAATATTAATTGGAACATTTAATTCTAATACAGGCGAACTGTTTCGGATCCTGTTTGGAATTGATCGGCCGGGAGATGATTTGACACGGGACGATAAAAGCGCTCTAAAAGCAAAAGCCGCTGGCCAGGGAGCCCACAAACTCGAGAAACCTCCGCTAGCCGACCAAATGCACGTCGTAATTTGGGTCATAAAAGCTAATGATATTAGATTTGAAATGGGTCAGTACAGAGAAATCATCAAGTATGTTCAAGACCAACTACGGGAGGAAAGTAAGTAGGACTTTTCCAGTGAGGCATTTTACAACTTACTTCTTGTGACGCGTGCTACACCATTTAAATTTAGGTGTGACGCTCAAAAGAGTCTGTCAAAAATAACAGAACGATTGAAAAATTGTCAAACATTTTGGACCATTTCAAGTATCACTATAATCAGGCGCTATATAAATGTCTGACCGTCTGACAGACCTACCACTGGTTGACCGATTTAAATAACTAACTAGTGGACTGAATTCTTGACTGTCTGACTGCTAGACTGCTTGATACATCACAGCTCGCCTGTCTGACTTTCTGGCCGGCTAGTTGTAATGATTCACTTTTATCATTATTGATATTGAAGATGTGCTTCATTTGAAATCTCTCTTCATCCTGTTGAAGTAATCACCACGTTAACTGTCATAACATTCGACGATGAGGTCCAGAGAGGGCCAAATGCCGATGAAAAAAGGAAAAGATTGAAAGAGGCGGCCATTGAAGTCACTGGTAGTGACAGGAAGAACGTGTTTATGATCGCCAACTCATTATCAGAAAAATATCTTGATCCAGTTTACAAGAAACGTGTCTTGGAGCTGATGAAGAAAGCATTAACGTGCGGAGAGCGTTCCATTAGGATGCGGCAAAATAAAAGGGAAAGTCCAAAAAAGGAAAACCGGCATTCAGAGTCTGCAGCCAGTGAGCTCAAATATCCAACGCCAGTGGAGCACGAATATGAACCTCTGACTGATGATCGTAAATGCAAAAGCTTGTCGTAAGTTACTCATTATAACTAGTAGCGCCTTATCAACTAAGTAGTTTAGGGCAACTAGACGGGAATTGGTTGCTAGAGAATTCTAATCACGAACAAGGCTCAAGGCCTATCAGGTTATTCATTTCTTCTTCTTCTTTAGTACCTATTAATTTACGCCTGAAGGGAAGTCGCGCTTTTTAAAGGAAATTAACTCGAATTGTTTAAACGCTTTCTTTCGAATAATAAAATAAAGGGGACATGATCGTGAATGTTATTATCGGATAACCAAATGATCCTCTCAGTTTTTGAGAAAACTTACAACTACCATGCGTTACAGTTGAGTGCTAAGTAAACGAAATTCGCTGTTATGCCCGAGCTCAGATTTGGCCCCATCATAAATGTATACTTCGTTATTTTGATAAGAATTAACTCTGCATTCGCATCTGTTCTCATCTAAAGTATTTGGTTGTGGCTTGAAATACTACCTCGCAAATACATTCCCCGCGTTTTTAATCCCTTTCCATATCATTTCCGACGGACAAATAATAGAGCAAGTATAAACAACGACGCCACGTTCAGCATATTAACTTATTTTTTTGTTACCTAATAGGTCAGATTTTAAATCACCCGACTTGAGCCAGTCTAAACGTTCAACAGAGACCTTCGAGATGGAGCTAAATGACAATGAACACTGCCTAGCATGTTCCAAATCCTAGATGTGTTTTTTTGTTCATTTTGAATTATCACTAGCTTAAGTGACATCGACATTTTTCCAAGAATTTTTAGCACAAATTCTTTATTTGTTTGTTATAACTTTATTATGTGACAGTATCATCAAGAAAGGAGCGGACTTAGGAAGATGTGTTTCGAGATTATGGTGAATTGATGTCCAAACGTTTGCCTAAGGACTTAATGTCAATTGTAGAGTTCGGCTATTAATTGAAGATCGTTATACCACGGCTCACGATAACTAATGATAGCTTGAATCTATCGTTCATATAGATCAGTGGCCCAAAATCCTGAGACAAACGTTTGGATCTTAATTTATCATTATGCGGAGCAGACTCCTTCCAAATGAAACTAAAATACGAAAGTAGCAGGAGTTTTGATATCCGAGCATGCTCGAAGTAGCCTCCAAAATCTACGATATTCTTGTGTACACACCGAAACCTTAAGGTATAAAAAAACGAAGGGCACTTTTATTCAATGATTTGGATAAAAATTAAAGAGATTTCCCCTCACGTCATAGTCTTAGCCAAGTTATATTATCAAACACTTTTGAAAGTGTTGTATTCTTTATAAAAGTTGGATACAACATGCAGATTATACGTCAGTAAAAAATTCTACTGCTAGTCTGAAGGAAAAAATTGAAGTGTCTGTCCTCAAATCGAGTCAGTCAAGAGGCGAAGGGGAAGGTGCCCTGTCTTTGCTAAGTGAAAGACAACTACGCCCAAATGCAGCAATGCTGCTAAAAAACTCAATAGTTTTTTTCTGAGAATTGTCATTCACAACAACCCGGTAAAGCGTTTTTCCAGTTTCTCTCTGTTCATATATCAGTAATTCTGCGTTAGGAGTAGATTGCCATTCGTTGAATAAGCCATCCACTATCTCTTTAGGAGGGGTCCATTCCCCGGACCACTTTTCTACCTCTTCATATGAAATCCTACCATAGAGGAGTCGGGTCTTCAAAACCAGTGACTCTTCGACATGCTTTGGTAGCGTGCGGCGATCTGCAGATCCCTTTGGCGAACCCGCAGGAAGAGATTGTGATCGATGGAGTGGCGCTCTACGTCTGGATGGGGAAAAGGTTTCTCTCCACCAAATAATACGTGCCTTTTTTCCAAGAGTTTTAGTAATCTCATCTGCAATGGTGTCTTCTTGAATCAGACGATTATCAGAGCAGATAATAGCAACGACTTTTTTGTCTGAATGTAAAAAGTATTTATGTTAAGAATGATCGAAACCTTAAGCAACAGCTGCAAAGCAGAGAAAAAGACGGCGTTAGTTACCAGCATGGGGACAATTTTCATCTTTAGTTTACCTCGCCGATTTTTTTAAGGAAAACCCTAACGAAAATCAAAACAAAAATCTACGCATACATAAAATACGGAGTTTTACTAAATTACATGAAAACTTTACAGCCAAGTGTGAGCGAAAAGTCTTGTTGCATTTAAAAAATGATAGCAAATGAGGTAATATCAAACTGAGATCTTTTCTGTATTGTCCTCTTAAATTCATATCGACTAGCGTCTATGATAAGCGGGATTACCCACAAAGACTAAGACGCACAGAAGACCATGACAACTATACAAGCACGCCACAAAAAATAAGCTATCAACATAACTGCAGAGCGCTGCTTCATTGTTCCCCTTTACTTCAAAGATATACTCTTACCAACGTTATCTCTGGCGTATCGAAGCAGGTCTTTGTAATGAGATGTTAACTCTCCCAAAATGGCTGCTCCATCCAAAAAGATGTAACAAGATCTTATGGAATTTATTGAATGTGATTTTAGGACATCTTTTAATCCCACAGGACCGTCGAAGATATATCGAACCTTCCCAGAGAATTCATCACCGAAAACGTTCTTAAAATGATCTACATCAGACTGATTTCGGCCAAGTACTGCAATAATAAATAATAATAATAATAATAACATTTATTTATACCGCACAAACTCAACTATGCAGTTTTAAAATGCACTTACAATTAAAGATCAAAAAAGTAAAATACAAAATATAAAAAGAAAATTACACGATAGAATAATTATCTAGTCTATAAATTACAATACTATATTAGAAAAGGCTTTTCTAACAAGGTGAGTCTTCAAATTACGTTTAATAACTTTAAAATCGGAGGTGTTACTAAGATCTAACAGAAGATTGTTCCACAGTTTTGGTGCAGCGGCTACAAAGGCCCGGTCACCAAGAGTAGGAGAAGTCCTGAAGTTTGGATTTGAAAGCAGATATTTGTTTTTTGATCTGAGGCTGTAGGAAGTTCTGGTTCGCCTCAGATTTCGATTGTGTCATGTTTGTGTCCATTGCGTCCTGACAGTGGCCGTAGACAGTTTCTGATTTTATAAATGAACACCGTTCTGTCAAGTTAACTGAAAATAAGGGGTCAGAAAGAGCCTGAAAGACTTTTCTTCAAGCTTGCATTATAAGGTTAGGCAAAGTATCCAGACTTTGGGTAAAGTCGACCTGTACACCCGACCCAGTACTTTTCAAAGCTATGATACTGGGATTATTAGCACATGCGTGTGTTCTGCAGAGACTGGCAGTGGTCTTCAAACACCCTTAAAACCAAAATGATGTGCTCAAATAATACTGTAATATAAGGCTAACATTTTTCTGTCTTTGAAAATTATATTCTTGATGAAGCTGATAAGCTCCAAATTTATGATTATTTTCAAAATGAGGAACAAATTCTCTCTGAATATGTCTAAAGGTTCAGCAAGAAATAAAAAGCTATAATAATTAATCATTTTGTACTGCAAAAATAACCAGATCCATGTGGATTGACAAGTCCTCTCCGGGAATGTACAGGTACTTATAGAAAAGAGACACCAATACAGAAATAATTCAAAGGGATTAACTTACCCATCACCTCCTTGGATTTTGCCCCAGCATCATCATGCTCAGTCATTTCTCCATGAAGACCAGAGGTATGGTCATCCTTTTGTCCCTGACAGATTTCAGGTGCATGCTTTTCAAGTGCTCCTCGCTCTGCCATTTGGATTTTTGTTTCGTTTAGTGCAGTTTGCTGGGACATAAGAGCAGAGAAAATTTTGACATAAGATTAGTTATTACTCATGTAGGGAAAAATGCTGTTGTCTATATCCCAAGGTAACTAATTTAACTGTAGTTTGACTAAAACTGTTCTCTTCTGCCCTTTGATAACCAAGAAAATTTACCCTTTGAAGGGTGATAGTTAAATATTTGATTACCTACAGTGGAGACTTGAAGTGTGAACACTACAAGTCAACCTAGAAATGGTTAGCAAGCAACTTCATCTTAGATATTATTGATTTATAACAAAAGCATAATATGAGTCAGGGAACAAGATACCTGAAGGGAGTTGCATTGATACAATACTCAACTCCCTCAATACATCTTCCAGGAAATGCAGAGAAGCTGAATGGCATAATTGTTAGAAAGGTGTTTAGAGTCTATTGAGGGTTGATGCAATCAGTGAATGTTTATTGCAGTATTTTTTTATTAGGAAGACACACCTGCTTTTGATCACCTAAAGTTTCACTCTGCACGGGCTCTACCTGAGGTTTTATTTCATAAGAAAATTTTTGACCCTTCCTCTTGGAATCAAGAAAATGTAACAGTGCCTCCTCATGAATCACCCTGTGTTTCTTGTCCCAAGAAAAAATAAACCCCTTGGTTCCATCCATGAATTCTTCTTTGAACTGAGAAGAAACCTTTCTTCGAGCCCAGCGAGACAGGAGAGATCCATCTTCCTCAGAGGCATTTCTGTAGTTGTCATCTCCACCAATAACAACAATTACTCTTTCATCTGGGGTCATAACAAGTGTGAATAAACAATAGGATTAGTCTAGTGGTGAGGATTTTCATTATCCTTCATGAGTCTCAACAAGGAACAAACCACCCATAATTTTAAGTGGCTTAAACCTGTTTCTAAATGGCTGGCCTAACTGCTGTCCTTTCCTATCCGTGTCAAAAGAACGGAGTCTTCACGCAAAGCGAATCCAAAAAAGGTAATCTGCATGCACATAAAAGAAAAAATAATCACGCCCTCCATCATGAAAGAAGTCTATACCAAGAAATCAAACAAAACGGGTGAGTTAGAAAAGCAAAACAAAACAAACAGAGAGTTTGGTTGACACATACTTCCAAATGCCCCAATAAGATATTAAATCAAGGCTTCACTTTGTCTGAATATTTTCCTCATTTTATATAAAATTTCACACCTTTGGATAAAGGTGTAAAAGAATTATGAGGTGTGAAAGAATGATGAGGTGCCTGGAAAGAATGACTTAGTGACTTGTGACCAACTGATAAATTTTCCTTCTAAATTGTCTTTTATTACTTTGAAAAAAGTGAAGGAGAAAAAGTCAGTTTGTGCTTTATTCCACCTGCCTCTTCAACTTTCCAAAAGACACGAAAGACAAAAACGAAACAAGTAATAACGCAACGAAAACAATAACAAGCCAGCTAATTCACCGACTTCAGCTTAGAGAAGTTTCATCTTGGTATTCATTCCGTTACACCAGATTGAGCTCGAGCTGTCACGCACGGTTTGTTCACGAATTGCTTTGTTAACGGTAGTTAAGTAGGCACAAATCTCATCCTTGCTTATTTGTCCCAAAATCTGTACTAATACTGCAACGTTTTTTTTTCCGTTTCATCTGAGTAAGATGAAACTTGAAAATCGCCTGAAGATTTGAATTTAATTCTAATGAAGCACGATCAAAATTTCAACACTTACCTGTTGCCCTTAGTAATGCTCTGTACAGCTTTGAGTAACCAATTCCAGCGTTCTCCTCGTTAATCGACAGCCTTGATTCGTTTGCATTGACAGCAAAAATCGCATAATCCATCCTTCGTTCATCACTGGTCTTGTCTTCAATAGTCTTAGTCAACTCAGACATATGGTGGAGGCGAAAATATTCCTTCTTCGATTGTATATCGATCCCCGTCGTTTTCGTTTTAATGACGTCCAACAATTT